GGGGGGGGGGGGGGGGGGGGGTCTTAAGAGCTTTTCCCTTTCTTTCACTTTCTCCCTCTTATATACACACACATAAATGTGATAATTTATAAATGTGTAAATTGCAGATAGATCCCTTCTTCCAATTGTGAATAAAACTCCTTGCAATTGTACTTGTATGAATAGACCCCTGTAGTTTTGGTTTAAGTGAGAATACATTCTTTAGTAAACTTTCTCGACCCTTTTTTATAGAACAAATTTTCACTGTAGCCTGATTTTAATTTTTTATTATCAAAATCGACTGTGTATCCTTTTATTTACTGAAATCGACCGGTTTTCTCGCCACGTCAGCGTCGTGGCGAGAAAGCTGGTCGATTAATTTTTAATCGTCTTCTTAAACAGTCGGGGTTGGCAACCCCGACTGTTTAGTCCATCGCCTGTTAAGAGGTTAACTAAATGGTCGGGGTTTATTTCGAAAGTCGGGGTTCCCAACCCCGACCATTTAGCAGAGCCCAGCGATAGCTGGGCTGAACGACGGACAAAATGGTCGGGGTTGGGGGCCCCGACCATTTCGAAATAGGTCTCTTACGTTCCCAACCCCGACCATTTAGCAGAGCCCAGCGATAGCTGGGCTGAACGACGGACAAAATGGTCGGGGTTGGGAACCCCGACCATTTCGAAATAGGTCTCTTACTGGTCGGGGGCCAACCCCGAAAGTAGTCGGGTTTGGGAAACCCGACTACTTATTCTGGGTCCCCACCACCGTATAAAAGCCACCGCAACCCCCTTTCCCCGATCCCATCTCATTTCTCCGCCTCAACCCCGACCATTTCGAAGCTCATTTTTAATTGGTCGGGGGCCAACCCCGAAAGTAGTCGGGTTTGGGAAACCGACTACTTATTCTGGGTCCCCACCTCCGTATAAAAGCCACCGCAACCCCCTTTCCCCGATCCCATCTCATTTCTCCGCCTCTCTCTTCTCTCTCTTCCGTCTGTTCTCCCAAAACCAGCTTCAGATCTCAATTTTGAGCTCGTTTCTTCGGCGGAACTTCAAATCAAAAGTTATCTTAAACGTATATTGGTAATTTCTTCTACTCCTCTCCTCTTTTAACTTGTAGAAATGTAGGATTTTTTTCTTAAAAATAATTTGCTAGGGTTTTCATTCATAAATGAATTTCGTGGGCTAGATTTATCTGTGAAATTCGTTTGTATGATGATTATTATCGATGTAATTAACTTTTAGGGCATATAATGTTCAATTGTTCAATTTTAGGGTTTAGGATTTACAATTTGGGAATTAGGGTTTTTGGTTGAAATTATGTGAGATTATTTGCATATTAATTTAATTTTTTATATTTAAATGATATAATTTTCTTTTGAATAGGTTGAACAATATGATGTTTATTGTTTGTTCTTATGGTGGGCAAATTAATTATGGGATGAATAATATGCCAATGTACGTCGGAGGGGTAACGACGCCATTAATGATCTCGGAATCATATAGTTACTACGACTTGGTTATGGAATTACACCGAGTTACGGAAATTGACCCACGAGAATACCGACTGAAAATTATATGCAATTGGCCCATAGCTATTGATAGAACATCCGCAGTGGAGATCTCGAACGATTATCATATGAGTATTATGTTTAAATTGGGCAAGTCGCAACAAACGGTAGAATTGTTTATTGAAAAGTTACCACATAATCCGTGCCAAATATTCAAACCTCCAGGAGAATTCTCACGCATGTTAGATATGAGAGTTAATTCCGATGGGTTTCTTTCTTCTTCGAATGAAATGGAGCGGGCTCAATTCGGTGGAACGTCAAATGTCATGAATAACGAAGTCTCTTATGGAAATATGGGGCCGTTAAGTAGGGCATCAATCGAAGAGGATGAAAGAAGCAATGACTCGGGAGGTGAAGAACAATATAGTGCACCAGTTGATAGTATGCAATTTGTTACCCAAGATGTCGAAGATAATCCGGAATGGCCTGATGAGGCTTACGTTAATAATGACTACGTTGAGTATGAAGAACCACCCCCCGACGAGTTTGAAGATGATGAGTGGATTCGTTCTTCCACAGTAAAAGATATGTGCATCGGTGAAAGTTCAACTCGTAGAGGAGATGATGACGCCCCCTTTAAAGTTGGTGATTTATTCGAGACTAAAGACCAATTGGTTGATGCTATTCGTGAATACTCTTTCGAAAAGAATTTCAAGTTCAAGCAAGTTAAAAGCAATCGCACAAGTTATGATGCAATATGTTTTATGAACACACAAAGAACAGGTCTGACCGAGGGAAATGAAGCTGATTACTCATGTCCTTGGAAGTTATATGCATTTGCAGGAAAGAAACACAATTTTCAATTTAGGATCAGTGAATACTGCGGTGTTCACACATGTGTCAATCCAATATTAGAGCAAGATCACAGTGGTGCATCTGCCTCTTACATAGCGCGGTTGATTATGCCAAAATTAAGGAAGAAGCTTGATCTAACGCCCGATAATATAATTGAGAAAGTGCTTGATACCAAGTTCATTAAAATCTCGTATATTAAAGCATGGAATGCAAGAAGAATTGCGATGACAAAAATATTTGGTGATTGGGACAAGTCTTACGCGACACTAGCTCAATATCTTGATGCGATCAAAAGAAGTAATCCTGGATCTGAATACAAACTCATAACCAAAGAGATCGATCCGGGAGTTCATCAATTCACCTCCGTTTTTTGGGTATTTGGGCCTTCTATTGAGGGGTTTAAATTTTGTCGGCCTATTCTTAGCATTGATGGCACACACTTATACGGTAAATACAAGGGTGTACTGCTTGTTGCTACAGGAGTTGATGCAGATGGTGGCTTATTTCCTTTGGCCTTCGCCGTTGTGGAGGTCGAGAACAGTGAAAATTGGGAGTGGTTTTTTTCTTGCATTCAATTATATATTTTTAATGTGTTGCCTCCTAGAAAAATTACTTTCATATCTGATAGGATGAAAGGTATTCCAAAAGCATTGTGGAGGAGATTTGGCTCTCATCACCATCATCGCTATTGCTTACGACACATTAGAGCTAACTTCAAAAAGAGCTTTAGTCAGATTCATTTACAAAACCTTCTGTGGCAAGCGGGTTGTACGCCGGAAACATATGTGTATGATCGGATACGCGATCAAATCAAGGCAACATCTCAAGCTGCACATGATTGGATTGAGAGAAGTCTGGGCAGTGATTACGTCGACCGGTGGGCACTCAGTAAAGATGGAGGGAATCGGTTCTGCATGATGACAACCAATTGTTCTGAAAGCTTCAACGGGGTACTTAAGGGGGCTCGGGCAATGCCCATACAGGCGTTGGTTGCGAGGACATTTTATAGGCTCAATTACTATTTTGTCAAGCGGCGAGAGGATGGAGCAATGTGGGCCTCGTTCTTGACACCAAAAAATGAGGCGATTTTAGAGGCTCGAGTTAAGCAGGCGAGAGGCACGAAGATTGTTAGATTTGCTGTAGATGAATGGGAGGTTACAGACAAACATGGTCACAATTACACCGTCAATTTGGGAGGTGCACATTGCACATGCACCTGTAACATACCAGAATTGCAAAAATTGCCTTGTCCACATGTCATAGCGGTTACGTCCAAGCAATCGGGGGGTGCAAATATTTCGTATTACACATACGCTTCTGAGTGGTATCAATCAAGCAACTATAGAGAGGCATATAAGCAGTGTTTCCACCCCGTACATGATAGTCGTTATTGGCCACACTATAACGGGCCGCATGTGGTGCCTCCAAGCTATAAGAGACAAGCCGGACGCCCACGATCAGTACGCTTAAAAGGTACTATGGATGAAGGCCGGGAAGGAGCTCCGAAAAAAAATAGATGTGGATATTGCAGACAAGCCGGGCATAGAAGATCTCATTGCCCGACCAATCCAAATAGATAGCAATTAATGGGTACAATTTTATACATTTGTAAATCAATGCTTATAGTAAAATCAGATTTCTACTATGGCACATGACGCATTGCGTACGACTACCGAGCAGGAGCCGAGGAACATGTTCCTTCGAATGATAAAAAAGATACGGTCGGCTCTTCAGAGGACGCGTCACGCACGCCGTGATGGACGGGAGGAGCGACCAATTGAGTTCGGGCGGCGACGTCGACGAGGACACACGGGGGCGGGATCAAGCTATGCGCATGATGAAGCTGGCGGCTCACAGCAGACTCAGGCCGAATGTTCACAGGAGGTTCGAGACGACGCGGATAACATGCACTCCCAACTTCACAACCGGACGAGGAACTTATCGAAGGTGACGGCGGAAGTGGTAGAGGAAGGGGGAGAAGAGGGAGAGGGAGAGGGAGAGGGAGAGGAAGAGGGAGGGGAAAGGGCATTGTTGAAATTTGTTAAGTTTCGATGCACTTGATAGGATGTTTGCGTTTGAGTTGCAATTTGGACTTGATATGTTGTTTGTGTTGCGATGGATTTGATATAATGTTAAGTTTGCGAATATGAATTGTACGTATTATATTTGTGTTTGTGATTGTATTGTGAATTGATAACAGGAGTATGATTGCATTTTAGCATGTGTTATTTGTGATTACATTTTGTACTACAGGAAGTATGAGTTTTCCAAGTAAATGTGGGCTGGAATGGGGTCTGCAAAATGGTCGGGGTTGGGAACCCCGACCATTTTGTGCACCCACACTGGCATCGTGCCTGGGCTCTGCTAAATGGTCGGGGTTGGCAACCCCGACCATTTCGTCCTGATGCTTGCTGGGCTCTGCTAAATGGTCGGGGTTCCCAACCCCGACCATTTTGTCCGTGGTTCAGCCCAACTATCGCTGGGCTCTGCTAAATGGTCCACCCCGACCATTTTGTCCGTGGTTCACCATTTCGAAATAGGTCTCTTACGAAATGGTCGGGGTTCCCAACCCCGACCATTTAGTTAACCTCTTAACAGGCGATGGACTAAACAGTCGGGGTTGCCAACCCCGACTGTTTACGAAGACGATTAAAAATTAATCGACCAGCTTTCTCGCCACGACGCTGACGTGGCGAGAAAACCGGTCGATTTCAGTAAATAAAAGGATACACAGTCGATTTTGATAATAAAAAATTAAAATCAGGCTACAGTGAAAATTTGTTCTTTTTTATAAGTCAAAAAAATTAGCGATTGGGAATCTATCTTCATGAATAAAACTGTAGCGAGCCTCCTCAAAGAATTTTTTATGATTTAAGACAAAAAAATTCACTCAGGAATTTTATTTGCACGAATAAAACTGTATGAAGTCTATACGCAATTGAGTGGTATTACATGGGTTTATTGTCAATAGCCTTTATAATGTTTAAAAAAAATTCCCTATGCGGCTAAGGGGCTGTTTGGTTCCTGTTTTTTGGGTGGTAAAAGTGAGGAAAACTATCAAAAATGTCAGCTTTTTGACAGCTTTCCCCCAAAATCACCTCTTAAAAAGGTGATTTTGAGGGAAAGCTGTCAAAAAACTGACATTTTTGGTAGCTTTCTTCTTTTTTACCATCCAAAAAAACCTATCCAAATGTTGCTTGAACAACTTGTGGACACCCCAATGCAGGACAACTCACCATATTACAGGGACCCATTTTGTATATATTACGGACTTTTTCATACAATACCCTTCAAATTTTATGTATCTTTAATTTTGCTTTCCAAATAATTGTAATAGCTATTTAATCTCTAACCAATACATATGTATTCTCCACATCATTCTCTGGATGAGCAGAGTTGGTCGCAGGTTACATTCATATCCTATAAAATTAGATACATAATATCCATATGTTCATCTCATCACATACGAATATAATTATATCCATAGGCATTTCTATCCTTTTCCATACTAATTAAACCCATTAGTAGTATAAATTTTATCAGACTCCATGCGCTAGTAAGGTGTTTTGAGTAGGGGTGCAAAATGGTCTAGATATATTAGATTCAATTCGTAACCGTATCTGATCAAATGATGAGGATATATATGATAGTCAAAATTTCAAACTAGTCAAATAAGGATACAATTTCATATATGAATATTGGTTCAAAATTTCAAATACGATTTGGATATACGAATTCAAATATGGTTTCGGATATGAATTCGGATATGGACTCAAATACAAATACAGATATTAATATTACTAAACTTGTGGTTTGCTTGATGACAAATGCATATGCTTTGGGATGTGATCATATATTTTTGGGTTATCGGAGCGTGCTTTATTGAGGTAATCAAGTGTATGTTTTGGACTATTTATGGTCAAATTTATTACATACTATAATTTGATTTTTTTTATTAGTGACGATTAAAAAATATTGCCTTTGAGTAATACACTTGGATTGTGACCATTTAAGAAAGATAATAGAATTATCTTGATTGTATTAGATATTATACGTTGCTTTTAAAATTGATAGCGAACAATATATTGCAATTATTTAGATGGACAATATACTGTAACTTTTAGGTCATGTTTTATCTCTTTCGTGCAAATTGGTGCAATAAATATATGTATCTTCTTTTATATCCGATGCATATCCTCAACCTTACCGCACCCGTCTCTCCAATATCCAAACCACATCCGTTTCCTTTTTTGCGGATATAGTTATGACTCTTTCGTACAGAAGGAAAACCATATTCGTATTTGTATCCGTTTTTTAGAATGCGAACACGAATAAGAGAGGTTAGAAACATATATAACCTGAAATTTTCGAACTACTTAATTATATGGTTCAGAACATATTAGGCTCGTATATATCTAATAAGATTTGCATTTGATTAGAGGGGCATATGTATGTACTATATCTTTTCCTCAGTTGCGAAGAAGTGGGAAACAAAGGATATCCATTAGTGGGTGTTTCAGGGGTGGAACAAGTACTGCCAAAAGATAAAAAGGAGAGGGAATAATGGAAAAGGGGAGAAGCAAATTAACTACAAAAGAGAGGAAGCAAGCCCAAGGTTGGGCTTGTCCCCCGTTTGTGGTGTCATGGCAGAACAACTTTAACGCCGCTGTCCCCGCTCAACGGTTGGGTGAAGAACGTAATTAATTAATTAATGGAAGGAATTAGAGAGAAGATTAGTTAATTAATTAGAAGTCACCCTCTCTTTGGACGTATATATTTCCGAAACTTCTTTCTAGGCACACACATTCTGCGATCCTGCTCCCAATGCCATAATCAAAAAGATTCTCTCCCTCTCCCTCTTTTTACCTTTTTTTTCCCCTTTTTTTTTTGCTTCCTTCTCGAAAAATTTTATATAATATGGGTAAATTTCTAGTTCTAACCCTTTGCTTAGATTTGATTTCCAGTTAAACCTACTTTAGTCAGACAACTGTTCATGTTCAAAACCTTTTTAATTAACCAGTCCGTTACTCTCGTATGAAGATCTATTACTAAGCTTAAGAAACTATCATAAATTCTATATTACTATCATCTAATTACTATCATAAACTATTTATTACATAATTAGTATCATATATCATGAATTAACAAACATTTTCTAGCAAAAATCATCTTAATTTTACAAAAAGAACGTCATGAATTTTGTAGCTATGTTGGACAAAGATGTTCACGATAGTTTTTTTTTTACCCTCTTTTACCATGACCATGTCGGTGTTTCATTAATAAAAGGTGACTTCAATTGAATCTCTTGCCCTTTTCCGGCCCCAATCTACGTGCCCCTCACAAGTAGCATGTTTATGATACTAGTTTCTTCTTTTTAAAATGTCAACTTTTATATAGCTAACATTATATATAATATACAGTACGTAAGCCGTAATGTATTAAAAATATTCAGATGTATGTGGTGTTTGAAAAGGTGAACTCTTTTACAATAGGATTTAGTTAAAAATCAAAGTCGGATAAGGGGGACGCGCCAAAATTTCCTATAATTAACATACAAATTAATAATGCTTAATAGGATAGTATAAATATATATATTTACCCTATGATGATCGATCGAGCTTGTGTTATGAAAAAGGTTAAAGGGGCTACGTTCAAAAGGAGAGGTTTGGTGTTATTGGAGTGATGCATGCGCAAGGAGCTAGATGATGAGTTGAGAGTACTTATAAAAAAAAAAAGGAACTCACTCACTTGAGCTTGAGTTCGAGTTGAGCCAATTGTCTCTTTTATTTATGGTTTTGTTATGGATTGCAAGAACAAGGTAAGCATGGGTCACCCACTAAAGTAAGCCTTTGATCCTTCAAAGTTCAACCCCCATCATTCACCTCACCTCTTCTTCTCCTCCTCCACTTGCTTTTAATCGCAAGCAACCCTTCGATCTCTCTCTATCTACCTCATCTTTAGTTTACATCCCCCTTCCCTCTCTCGATCTCCTTTGTTTCATTCTTCGATCTCTCAACTTTCCTTCTAATTCTGGCTAACCCTAGCTAGCTACATGTGTACGTCCTCTTGGCTTTTAGTTTCATTTGAGGAAACCTTGGAGAAATTAATCAAATATTGATTCATATCTAGCTATACCTAGCTAGGGTTTTGTAGGCCGTATTAGCACCTTCATTAATTTGAGCATGCGGTTTTTACGATCAAGTCTAACACTGTTAGGTTGTGTAGAGGGCCCTGAACAGGCCCAGTCTCGATCAGTCCCCATTTTCTTGCACTTGTGTAGCTTCAAACTCATTGTGCTTTGATTCAAGGGCGTATGATGGCCTATGCATTTAACTTTAGATAGTCTCCAACACCATCACTCTTTATGTTGGCCAAAGTTATGCACAAGCAATTCATGTTGTCTTCTTGAGCAATACCTAGCTATGATAATGATGTCCCAACCTGCGGTCATGATGCAGGGCGATATCAATGATGATGATGATGATGATGATCGATTAGAGCTTGCATCGCGATATATCTCGCGGTGGATGATTAAAAGAAGCGATATTGGTGAGGTTCAATCCGATGATTGAATTTACACGACGATGGTAGAACTGTCTCAGATTGAGCCGCGCCAATATCACTTCCCTCCATTTTCTTGCAAATTAATTCCAGACATATGATGGTACTTCTTTCCTTTCTTTACTTTTTATTATTGATATGCTTGATTATGTTTATGTCAATTACCAGCACTTCACTACGACAGGCATACCGCTTTAATTATTTGTGAAAGTAAAACTGAAACCCTTGGCATGCATGATTAAGCGCAAACCCTAAAGTATTGGAAAATTTTAGTTTTTTTTAGCTCATTTATCTCGGAATATTAGAAAACGTAAACAGATTTGAAAGGCCTAGCGATACTAATATGTCTCCGCCTAATTATTTCTGCTTGACTCCTAGCTTGTAATTAAGCATGTGTTTCTCCTTAATTTGCTTTTTTTTATCCCTTCAGATTAGCTTCTCAAAACTCTGATCTGTGAATGATAACCTCTTTAATCAACTGAATTGTTGATACAAATGAATTATATTTTATTTCGAGCGAATATTACAGAAAACATTTCATATCTCTGGTAACTATATACAGTCACATCTTTCTAAAACTACACTATGATGAAACTCGTGTGTAACCTGTATACGTATTTTCGTGTTTATGAAGCAGATCTAGTGTTTGATTAGGTGAAAGTCATCATTTATGTATGAGATCCACTGCATTTTCGTCACTTATTTTACTTTCAAAAATATTGATAATATGATCAGAACTCGTGTGATCTAAAACTTAATATTGATAATATGATCAGAACTCATGTGATCTAGAACTTCTATGATCAAACTCGTGTGATCTATATACTGTTGTGTTTATGAAGCATAGTGCTTCGGTGAATGTTATCATCTATGTATGAGCTCTACTGTATTTTTTTTTCACTTATTTTACTTTTGAAAATGTTGATGATATGTTTCTATATACATCATCTTCAGATATCTATATTTGAGAGTGGTAAATATATGCTATCATTTTTTGTACTGCATGATAACGCAACGTTAATTTTACCATGAATAGTTGAAATTTTTCATAAAATATATATAGTTATAAAAAGAAAAATAATGCAATTACTGAACGTGTATAGGAATGTTGACTGAAAATTTTAGATTACAAGAAATAATCTGCATGTAGTAAAAGTGAAGGATATACACCAAATACATTTTCCAATATTTCTTAACATATGTACTCTCCGCTCATTAATGCCCGGTTTATTTGGCTGTTTAGTTTTTGCATAAGTTAGGTCTGTTGTGAGCGGCGCGGAAGCCAAACAAACAACCAACTATGATGCTTTGAGAAACCAAACCAACAAACGCCGAGAGAAAGACCAAACAAAACACAAACACCAAAGTTTTACGTGGTTCGGCAATTGCCTACGTCCACGGGGCAAGAAGGGGGAGGGTTTCCACTAATAGAGAAGGAGAGTACAAATTGAGATTACAAATCGCTCAAACGAACCAACTAATCTCACCAACTAATCTCACCAACAAATCTCTCAACCTCTCAACTAATAACCCTAACAAATAGCTCAGAAAGATCTCTCTTTTCTGTGCTCCAAAATCCCCCAAAACGCTCCTACAAAACCCTCAAATCGTATTGGTATTTATACCAAAACAGAAACCCAAACAGACTGCAAATAGGAACTCTAACTTTCCAAAAAACCCGTCATAAGTCGACTTAACAGTCTGCATAAGTCGACTTGGCAGAGCGAAAAACAACAACTGGAGAACAGATCGTAAGTCGACTTATCAGACCTGATAAGTCGACTTGGCAGAGCAAAAAACCAACAATCCAGAGCAGAACGTAAGTCGACTTAACAGTCTGTATAAGTCGACTTACCATAAGTCGACTTATGCCTGTGCATGAGTCGACTTATGACACAGAATCTGCAAAAACCTGAATTTTCCAAATTTCTTCCCCCAAAACGCTCCTACAAAACCCTCAAATCGTATTGGTATTTATACCAAAACAGAAACTCAAACAGACTGCAAATAGGAACTCTAACTTTCCAAAAAACCCGTCATAAGTCGACTTAACAGTCTGCATAAGTCGACTTGGCAGAGCGAAAAACAACAACTGGAGAACAGATCGTAAGTCGACTTATCAGACCTGATAAGTCGACTTGGCAGAGCAAAAAACCAACAATCCAGAGCAGAGCGTAAGTCGACTTAACAGTCTGTATAAGTCGACTTACCATAAGTCGACTTATGCCTGTGCATGAGTCGACTTATGACACAGAATCTGCAAAAACCTGAATTTTCCAAATTTCTCCACAAGGTCGACTTAGAGTTTCAAAAAAGCTAGCTATATCTTTCTTTCTTTTTTTTTTTTTTTTGAGGTAAAAATAGCCCAAGCTACCCTATCATAATATGTATTATAACACAAAAGCAGTATTTACAGATAATTAAGCAAGCTATATCCATATACTAATTAGTATTTCCCGTTCATGATCTTTCCATGGCTTAGTCTTAAGTATTATTGCGCTTGATTCCTATGCCAATTCTTTATAGGTTCTGAGGGTCAAAGCTGATGATACTCATGGAGATAAGTTTATACCAAACTTTAGTTAGGACCTTAGAAAAAGAATACATAAGTTATGTTTAGCCATTTGAAGAGAAGACATACCAACGAGTTGAAGGCCAAAAAATAAAAATAAAAAAATAAAAAAGTAAACAATAAATAAATAATAAAAATGAATTAGGTTTATCAATAAATTAAAATGGAGATATAGATATAGCATGAAATGCTTTGAAATGCATTGCTGATAGGATACAAAGTCCTTACCTGAACTTTTTTCTAGAAATTTTAATAATCGATTATCATTTATTAACAACATTATAATCCATTCCCGGTAAAAACATGAAGTGTTCAATTGTGCATGCTTCAAGTGTAGTGTATAATTAATTAATTTATTTATTCTTTTAACGGAATGTGTGGTTTATAATTTAACATGAGAAATCTCAGTGAACATGGATTAGTTAGTATTCTTGCAGTATTACTTTCGTCTACCGATGAAGCTGATTCTTGTAAAATGCTAGAGATTTTTATTTAAATGCTCTTTAATTCCCATAAAATAGTTCCCTCGTCCTCCAAAAAAAATAATAATTTGCACATAAAATACTACTAATTGAAGAAACAAAAACCATATACCACTGCATCATATATATTATAACGTCTCTGCAGTTTCTAACACAACCGTACGTACGTCCAACAATGCATTAATCAATTAGACACGTACGGTACATAACAAAGGGATGTAACCAACCACAAAATCTCCTCTAAAAGAAGAAAACCATGATCAGTTACTTATTACATTAAAAAATCAAACCACAACAAAAACATTATTTATTAAAGAAAGAACGTACGCAGTATATATATACGCTCTCTTAATTAGTGTCCTAAAATAGTTATCCCGGACGGAGTATCATATACGTCATCAGAATCCATGTACTCGTCATCGGGAACTGGATCCTTGGCCGGAGAAGCAGTAGCTTTTCCCTTTGCGGGTCCGGGTGGGCCTCCGGCCGCCTTCTTGGGGGCGTCGGCAGCTTCGGTGGTTTTCGACATGAGAAGGGCGCATGAGATGAGAGCGAGAAGGATCAAGGTGCGGGTTGAGGCCATCTTTTTTATGATGATGATGATGATGATGTGCTTGAGATTTGATGAGTGTTTATTTTGTTAATTTGTGTTGAGGGAGGTGAATTTAAATGGTGAAGAGAGGGAGAGGTTGTTTTGAACTGGAGGTTGGGGTTTGATGAGTACAGTTTGCGAACGGGTCTCAAGGGAACTGGAGGATGTAATTATAGAAAAAGTTAAGTTTGATGATGGTGCTACAAGGTAGGTGGATTCTCATGGTTAGGAGATTAGCAGCTCATTTTGTTAAATGAGCTATCAATAAATAAAGATGATGCGACCACCCTTCTTATGTGACTAACATGATTAGCTTCACGACGTGTCCATCTCTTGGTAGCCCATCTCACAAAATCAACGGTCATCTCTATGAATAATGCATAATTTCATTTCTTATTTATGACAAATCATAACTATCCATTAAACAACAGATGGTTATGACTGAAAAAGTTTTTTTTATGAGATATATAGTTGAAATGAACAGGGTCAGAATTTGCTCCTGGGTTGGCTTAGGATTTTGAGCATATGCAAATTTTGGGACCTTTCTTTCAACCAATTCTACGTTCTCTCTTTTTATTTTTATTTTTTTTATTTTTTTGCTCTTTCTTCAAAATAAATCATATCTATGACTTTTATCATCTCAACTTTAACAAATGCCTCATGTACTACAAGAAAATGGATTAATATGTCCAATTCTGGCTTATATATATTCACTATTTACTTAGTTAGTAGTTAGTAACATGTTTAATATGTTTGACACTTAGTTTCTAGTATTCCTGAAATTAGGAAAGTTTGAATATCATGAAAATTAAAGTTACACTTAGAAGTCTATTTTATTGCTTGGAATTGTAATCTGATATTCTTTGCACTCAACTCTAACCTCTGTTGCTTTGTTATATCTTATCAGTATGTCACATTATTTCAAGTCACATATTATACGCAATGCCTGACAATAGCTTGATAATACAAAGTAGAAAATATTGAATTGAATTACAGATTGGTAGCTGACATTCATAAATACAACCACCAGACAATTGTATGAACAGCTGTTTATCCTTTGATAGGCAACGCATATTGAGCGCCAGGAAATCCTGGACGCATGAGAAAATAAAGATTAATGGAAAAAACCTCTGAAGATTGTGCTCCTGAGGAAATATACAAGTTACAGACATACAAAATGAAAGATATACAAGGCCTCTGCTGGTTGAGCCTCATAATAAAGAATCCAAAACATGATTTCATAGGCTGACACCTACTTTTTTTTTTTACTCATGGAAACAGAAAACATACAAGGAAATTGCAATATGCCCCTATACATTTTGAACCCTTAACATTCATACAAGAACACTTCTGAAAAAAATTGGGCATCATGCTTGAAGTTTTTAAAAAGGAAGATTGCCCTCTGGTAAGTCCCAGTTATCATCATCATCCGCCTTGGATTTCTTAGCCGCATCTGCATCGGCTTGAGCAGAAGATGCATTAAATCTTGGTCCTAACCGTCTGCAAAAGCGTGAAATTAATAGTAAGCTTTCATTTCCATGCTATTGACGATACCAGTATGAGAAACTTGTTATCCTATGTATGGGTCACATTAATGTGATAACGTTTTCTGAAACCATATTTGAATATGCAATCCTCTACAGACTGGAGGATTCTGAAAGCATGTATTTGTTTCACTGTTGATAGATGTATATTTGATGAAAGATGATGAAACAGAGTTCTTAGCATTAAATGATAAATGAAACCGCATTTTCTTGTAAACTTAGAATAGTGGAAAAGAGATTCAACAATACTTAATTGTAATTGTACAATAATAATGCAGCCTCTTTCATCATTTACTATTGTAATTATGAAAGAGCAGAATAGCTGCTTGATATTAGTATCCATAATTATGCGCACAAATACTACAATTTTGGGGGGGGGGTGGGTCCTTTTTGCTGAACATTCAGTTAACTTTTCTAAGCACCAAAGACTAGGCTTCATCCCAACAATACATGAGCGCAGAATTTCTTATCCTTTTTTTCCCTTTTTGAGATAATTATGTGGCATAGATTGGAAAACTAGACCTTGTTCAGCTGAAACGACAGAATTGATTTATGCTGAAAAACATAAAATATTGATCTTATATATCGTGTGACTTAGATTGATTCTCATATATATATATATATATATGATATATATATATATATATATATATATATATATATATATATATAGTATATATATATATTATTATGGAAGAGAAAATATTGCTGAAACAGAAAATTCTCATATAATATATATATGAGAAAAATGGGTACGCTTGGTACCAAGTACAAAAAATTATGTTTGGTAGTGAGGTGGCATAATCCTCTCTAGTCTCCACTCATTCAAATGGTTGTATATCCCCATGTACTCCTCAACTCATGTTGAATGTGGTCCCCCATTTGAATGAATGGAGGGAATTGTGTCACCTCACTACCAAACACAAAAATTATGCTTGGTACCAAGCCTAATCTTGATCCTACATCTACATAGGAGTTGGTGAAGGGTGGTTGAGGCTCTCTATCTTTGAGGTGTGATGTAGGGTCAAGATTAGGCCACATCACTACCAAGTTGTTTTAAGCAACTTGGTACCAAGGTTCTCCATATTTCTCATATATATATGAGAAAAATGGAGAACCTTGGTACCAAGTTCTGTATATTTGTGTGTGTGTATATATACAATCTATACTATAATTAAGGTATAATGCAAATATCTTTGGAATCAATCGCAGAAAAGGCTACACAAATAATTAAGGTATATTTGTGTGTGTGTATATATACAATCTATACTATAATTAAGGTATAATGCAAATATCTTTGGAATCAATCGCAGAAAAGGCTACACAAATAATTAAGGTATATTTGTGTGTGTGTATATATACAATCTATACTATAATTAAGGTATAATGCAAATATCTTTGGAATCAATCGCAGAAAAGGCTACACAAATAATTATTGATTATAAGAGTCGAGGTGAATCATAATATAAGACAAGAGGATGCAAGTATGGTCTAGTCAGTTTCACTTTCAGCAAGCACCATATACTTTGTTTTATCAGAGATGTTAAGACACATGGAATGAATGATGAGGAGACCTCATTTAGTTTTATCTAGCTAGTGACAAAGGCAAGGGGAGGTATTACAATCAGAAAAGAGTCAGAAAATTCTCAATAGTAATATATTATGCAATGTTAACATGGTTATTACTGTACAACAAGCGTGTCCAACTTTCCATTCAAGCTCTACAAGAGTTGCATGTTTAATCCTCTGTCCTGAAAGAATCATGACATCTGCTCCCAAACTTGAGAACCAGCCTCTTGGGCAAGGGTCCAGAAATAGGAGCATTGAGCAAGCATATACTTGGTTATTACTGTACAACAAGTGTGTCCAACTTTCCATTCAAGCTCCACAAGAGTTGCATGTTTAATCCTCTGTCCTGAAAGAATCATGACATCTGCTCCCAAACTTGAGAACCAGCCTCTAGGGCAAGGGTCCAGAAATAGGAGCATTGAGCAAGCATATACTTAGGATGCATTCAGTGCTTGAAAAGTCTGAGACATCTGTGTCACATTCACAAAATTCATGTCTGCCAGCCCAACAACTTGCTTGGATCAGACACATGTGGGTTAATATGAAGCACATTTGCACTTATGTTTCTTCTAACATTATGTTGGGCTAATGGGTTAACCATTATGTCAGGAGTGGACATGCTGGTCAATAAGCAGAACATTTTCAGTTTTTAATGTTTATGTTGGACTAGTGGGTCGTTTACTTTTATGACATAATAATACCAAAAGAAGAAAATGCCTCCTTGAAAAATAAGTTCCTGGGAAGAAATTGAGCCAAGGAAGTGACTGTAAAGGACCACAAACGTTATGACTTAAGGTAGACACCAACAAAGCAGGTTAAAGGTTGAAGCCTTTTAACCAACCAACCAATAGTTCCATTGACCAGAGGGAACCACATTGGACCCCAAGTAAGTCAGTACAAGCTATTTGAGACGAAAATAAGATTCCTCCTTACGTATAAATACAAACATCAGCTACGTGCAACTTCGTACTTTTTAATGCTAATTGTTTCCAACGGACATACACATTTTACCACTGACTCTATACCACATACCTTTTATCAATGGTCTATACTATGTTTCTTGGGTCCCAACACAGGATGCATCTACAAATTGAAACTTCATGTTTCATCATGTAGCTATATTGCCTCAAGGGTAGTGTGCTTGTACAAGAAATCATCTCAGGTGCACCTCCGTTAAAGAGTACTCTATGAGCATTGAAGTAGTTCCAACTTTGTCAGCCCAGTTATAGATCAACAATATTCTAACAGATTCTTTAGAAGGCTCACCGTTTGGGGCATGTAGAACAATCCCAATGGAATCTTTGGAGTATGCATAAACTCCTTCAGAGCAACAAACTTCATCCTAAATGCTCGTTGATAATCTATTAACCAGGAAAATTTATTACTTATCAATCATCAATTTTCACCAAGGTTCGTTGATGATGACTTTTTCTTGTTTGCTACTTTAATTCTTATCAAGTTTATACAAAAACTATATCTATAGAAACATCTACCCTAAGATCCTGCTACAATTTTATAATATTTCCAATCATCAAGTGACCATAATATAATCAATTTTCAAAATCATTATCATTATAATAGACGTACCCTGCAAAGAGAAATCTAGACAAGTCAAAAATCTGAAAGAGATCACATTCTCACTAAACTTATCAAATCACTCTCAGATGCCCTATTTTATATCATGGGTGGCCTTTTTCGCCTGGATACTTTTGAGTGTTTCCCAAAACAACCGACCCATGATGTGAGCTCTCATAAAACATCAGTTTGGAACATATAAGGTATTCTAGTATCTATCTCAAAAAACTCTTCATATAGCTCTTGCTGGAAAACAAGCCTTCACCTTATCAACCTTCCAGGTGTGAATACAACATGATACACTGAATGGCAGGTACGCAATATAAAGGCCCTATCACCTTGAGTTAAGCTGTTTGTGCAATATAAAAGTGGTCAAGTGCACAATATAAAAGGGTGCCGTGTTTTTTACATAATCTTTTGGGTATGCAAATGAGGTATTAGGTCCCATCTTTACTTTGCTTCGTTATTATGTCTTCTCATCTGCAAGCATTGAAACTCTTTCTATGTCGCATGTCTCTAGAGCATACTAAATGTGAATAGTCCTAAAAATATTTTTTTGCATATCACCTGGGGAAGAATTTACTGTACTTAAATTCTTCATTTAGTCAAGGTTTGGTGGATTATGAGGAATTCTTGTATCATCAAGTAATCCTCCTTGAGAAGGGAAGATATACGGAAAAGGATAAAACAATTTCCTATCGTGGGTTCAGATCAGCTATATGAATGCACTTTCACATTTTAGCTCTATTAAACTTCATCTCCTCTTATGACCTGTCAACTATTGTATCCTTTATAAATGCATCAATCCATATTCAGCTAGATTTACCTTTGCTCTTCATAGCTCTCTCAATTGTATTTCCTTCCATCCTCTCATTCCTCCTAACCTGCACAGTTATTACTCTCACTAGCAAGGAGCCCAAATACCTCTGCCCAAATAACTCAACTAATTACTCCTTAATTGAAGCTTCAACACCGCAGTAACTTCGTAGCATAACTTAATTTCTGCTCCTTCATTTAGCACTAACTTCGTAACATAATTTTTGCTCCTTCATTTAGCACTAACTTAGTAACATAACTTAATTTCTCGTCCTATCATTTAGCATATTACCAGTTATCAAGTAAGCTCAGAGATAGCAACAGACATGACACAGGAAACTGTAAATATGAAACAACAATGACATGACAAGAAGTCTAGCACTCAAGATTAGTGTTCAACGCTACCAGGGTTCATACTACAAGTGTGATTCCAAAGACATCTTCCTTAATCACCCAGCACTGTAATAAATTAACTATTACCCAAATTAGAGAACAGTCTTAATCCACTTATCAGAGGGCGAAAATCCTATTCTCTGTGAGAAAACAACAACAATGATGACAAAAAATACTTTAACCCAATATTTGTAAAAGTTTACATCCTTTATTCAGCTCGACAGAGGGCAATCCTCTTCAGTAAATTATCGAGTAGATTATCCTCTTTTGCTGACCACATTGTTGTTATTCTGTCCATTTCAATTGTAAGAACCCTCCTAATCTCGGATATGACAGTTCATCAGCAAACCCTATTTCCTAAAATTGAGGTAATATAAACCCTATTTCCTAAATTGAAAAAATTAATTATAACCAACAACGTATAACGAAAAACTGAGACCAAGACCAAAATTTTAAGCCATAACACCCACTGAAATCTCCATATTCCACAACACAACAACAACAACAATGGCCGCAAAACTTCAACCCTTATATATTTGGTGCAGAGATAATCATCCGTCAATAAATAATCAAGCATCGCGTTCTCTTTTGCTGCCTCTATCTTTTTTACATAATTCCGAATAAACCCTATCAATCCTTCTAATCACATTACAGCGCTCTGAGCTCACGTTGATGTAATGAAAACCCTAGATACCAAATTTCTCTCTTTTCCAAAACTTAGTACTTCAAACTAGGACAAACGAGAAGAGGGGGAAATTAGTAGATAAGGGAATGAAATCACCTCCTCCGATTCCTGCGCCCAGCTTCCCTCTGCTTCCGCTTCTTCTCCTCCTGAGAGTTCTCAAAGAACCTCCGCCGGCGGCACTCATGGATCACCCCCGCTTCGACACCTCCCGCCGGAACCTCCTCAGAGAACCTCCTCCGCTCGTCCTCGTCGACGACGAGTCTGGACGTTGTATCCGGACCTAAAGTAGAGGATTGTGGCGCCTGGCCAGGGCTGGTTGGTCGAACCGGCCGTCGATCGGAGCCCACGGAGGCGGCGGCGGATGCGGTCGGAGGGCGGCGGGCGGCAGAGGGAGAGGGGGCGGGTGGGGAGGGGATGGGGGTTAGGGTTAGGGTTTTGGGGAAAGGGAGGTGGAAGGAGATTGTAAGAAGCGCCCATGGTTTGAGATTCGGCCTTATGCCTGTTGAAGGACTGTTGGGGGTTTTTTATGCTGGACCGGAATAGCAGGAAGAGGGGATAAGGGAAAATACGGGAATTTTTTTTTCTTCCTTTTTTAATCAAATCAACTTATTTTGAAATAGCGAAGTTCAGTGAGAAATTTTGGAAATAAATCAAGGGAAAATTGCTTCCTGGCCCCAAAATTTAAAATGCAATGTCACCCAGCTCTTCATACTTTTACCTATGCCCTGCAGCCCCCAACTTTTGAAAATTTTGTGCCTCAGCCCCTCCAGCTCACCTCTCCCCAAGTTTCAATGCATAACTTGTTAAAATCCAAATTTTACCCTCAATAAGCTTCCTTCTTTCTTCCTCCTCCAGTCCTCCTCCTCCACTCCCCCCCTCTGCCCCCTCCCTCAACTCTCTCCTCCCCTCCTCCTCTCCGATCCTGTGGTGGCGCTGGCTCCCTCTGCCGAGATCCGCCGTTTGTTGGGGTTTTTCTAATGGCCGACGACCACATCGCGGACGACTCCGTCGCCGTTCTTAGCGACGTCGACGACGAATACGCCTCCCTGGTACAATTTTTATTTATTTTTTGAGGAAAAGATGCAATTTTTATCTCTTTTTTTGCATTCTAGGAACGAATTTTCCCCCTTTTTTGCTGATGATTTTTTTGTTTTGGTTTTCTGTGAATAAGGGAAAGGGCGAACCTGGTGCTTGACGAAATGCTTCGGTGGAGAAAAAGTTTGTGTTTTGGGTAATTATGTTAAGGTGGGAAGTTGTCTTATGTAAATATGAGTATGGGTGGCTATATGTTTGATGAAATGGCTCAAAAAACTTAACTTTCTGTTGTAATAAGGAGTTTGTACATGTATTGTGGCTTTGTTTTTATGTAGTGTTAAGCTTTTGGAATCTGATGAGCTATTGAACTCTTTGTTTGCTAAAAAAACTCTTTGATGAGCTTTTGGACATGTATTGTAGCTCAAAAAACTCAATTTTTTGCTTGACGATATTGCCGACGACTCAGCCGTCGTTCTCAACGACGTCAACAAATGTTAATTTCAGGTTGGGGGTCACGGTTGCTTACCAGAGAGAGCGTTGAAGCGCTTGGCGCGTGGTGACGTGTCAGTGGAGATTGTGTTTATTACTGATATGTAAATAAGTTTTATTAGAATAAATTAAGAAATTGAGAGTGAAGAGTTTATTAGTTTCTCCTCCTCTGGGCTATGTGAAATGTTTATGAATGTGCAAAGTGTAGATTTGCTTAATGTATGTTTAGTATTTGTACTGATTGGATCAGTCATCATTGTACAAATATATAAAGAAGATATGTTATCTGTTATGTTATCGGAAACATGTTAACTTTCGCAGTTTGCTTGTTAAGTTACACTGATAACATGTTAACTTTCACAGTTCGCTTGTTAAGTTACACTGATAACATGTTAACTTTCGTAGTTCGCGTGTTAAGTTATACTGATAACATGTTAACTTTCACAGTTCGCTTGTTAAGTTACACTGATAACATGTTAACTTTGGATGGTAAATTGATAACTATTATCCATTATTTCTGGTCATATACACGTTAATATAGTTCTCATTTAACATGTTAACTATAATACGTAGCATGTTAACATAATTCATTTACGTGTTCTCATTTAACCTTTAACTCATTTAAATACGTATTATAGTTAACATGTTAATATAATTCATTTACGTGTTATAAATACTGTATTTCATGAATATAGTTCATTTACGTGTTATAGTTAACTATAAATAGCTTTTGTGTGTATGATGGTTGAATCACAAGAAGATCAAAAACTTGTTCTCTCTTTATGTTTGGAAGCTAGCGCTTTATTCTTGCTTCTTGTTAACTTGTAGCTGTTAAGTTTTACCTAAAACGTGTGAACTATAGCTGATTAGATGTTAACCTTTAGCGTTCAATGTAAAGCATAATTACATAACTGTTAATTTTTTCTTTTAAATGTTAAGTTTAGTACGTAGACTGTTAACTTTTTTCTTTAAAATGTTAAGTTTTGTTAATTAATTGTTAAGTTTTACCTAGTACATGTGAACTATAGCCTATTAACTGTTAATTAGGAGGTGTTTCATATAAGTATAATTGAGTAATTGTTATCTTTATTCTTTTAAATGTTAAGTTTTATGCTATACATGTGAAATATAACGGATTATGTTAACATGTTGCTCGATCTGTTTATATATAATAGTTAACATGTAAGCTATGATAGTTATCAGTTTATATATAAACATATTAAATTAAAATGTTAACATAGTTAAAATGTAAGTTGTGATAGTTAACATGTTAACTATTATATATAAACTGATAACTATCACAGTTTACATGTTAACTATAATATGAACGTATGTTAAATGTAAAAAATAACATGTTATCAGGATAAGGGTGTTAATTAACATATTACAAATAATAGTTAACATATAATGGATTATAGTTAACAATTTACTAAATATAGTTATCAATTTACCATCCAAAGTTAACATGTTATCAGTGTAACTTAACAAGCGAATTGTGAAAGTTAACGTGTTATCAGTGTAACTTAACAAGCGAATTGTGAAAGTTAACATGTTATCAGTGTAACTTAACAAGCGAACTACGAAAGTTAACATGTTATCAATGTAACTTAACAAGCGAACTGTGAAAGTTAACATGTTATCAGTGTAACTTAACAAACAAACTGTGAAAGTTAACATGTTTCCGATTGATACGAGTTGTCGTGCGAGCACCTTGATCGCGGAATTATCAAAGGTGGGTTGAGAAGAGGACGATAGAAACACAAGCACAATTCAGTATATGGCGAAGGAAAATATCTTCTCTAGATTATGAGTATAAAAAGATTACAATCCCTCTCTCATAATCTCACTAGAATCGAGAACAAACTCTCAATTCTCACTAAACCCTAATACAGAGATTAGAATCTCTCTCTGAATCTATCTGATTCCTCTCTGATTCTATCCGATTGTTTAGAAACCCTAAAACAATCCTTTATATAGGTGTACAAACGTGGATGACAATTTGGTAAATAACCAGACCCAAAACCAACAGGAATTCGTGTGAACAGAAACCCAAACGAACCAGGAAACCATCGATGAGTCGACTCATGACTGAGATGAGTCAACTCGTCAGAAACTAGACAAAACTCAAAAACCAGCAATGAGTTGACTCATGACAGTTATGAGTCGACTCGACCTGATGAGTCGACTCATGACTGTTATGAGTCGACTCATGGGTACTTCGATTCTTCTGCTCGTCGTCTTGTTCCACGCTTCCTCCTGTGTTCCCTTATACTGTTTGACACCCCCTATTCTCATGCTAGTATGAGAATCATCTATCCTCAAGCTCCCATGAGGATCGCTAAGTTCCGAAGAGAAGATACACCTGTATCATGGGTCCCTTCTTTAAGAACTTGAAGTCCCATTCAAGTTAGAACCTTTGCTGAGGAAACTCTCGAGCTCCTCCATCTTTTCTGCACCACCTGGCCTTGCTAGGAATCCGGTCTCGACGTTCGATCGGAAACAACTCATACGTTCCGCGTCTCGTCATAGTCACCGTTCGCTCTAAGTTGCAATACTTTGTCGATGGATTTTCTGGAAGTCTAATGCACAGCGAGACAAACTTCTTGTTTGCATTCACTAGTCTCTTCGCTCACGTCACCGTCCCCAAGCTTGTCTCCTTCAGAAGAGATGCCGAACGAAATATGAACTTTACACCATCCTTAGTGAAGGTGTACTTCTGAGCCCGCCTCTCGTAGATCGCATATCTATCCCATAAGTACGGATTGCCCAGTATAATCTGACAAACATCCAATGGAACGATGTCGCACGTAACCTCGTCAATATACGACTCGTGGAGCGTAAATCTGACAGTGCATTGATCAACTACACTCAGTTTCTCCTCCTTCTGAATCCACCCCAATGGATAGGGCTTCAGATGCTTGACTGTTTTCAGACCCAACTTCTGCACCAATGCCTCAGATATTAAATTATTCTCGCTGCCCGAATCAACAATGGCATCAACCAAACTGGTCTTCACTTGCAACTTAAGAACAAAGAGTTGCTCTCTCGGGTCGTCGTCCTCTTTCGTGGTCTGCTTTTCCGTCATAAGGTTGAGACTGTTGTTGGGCTCTGTCATCCCTGGGACTTCTTTCGGACCTTGAGCTATCATGTATGTCTTTTTCTCCTCCTTCTTCTTCAACCCCCTTGGCTTGAGATGAGGATACTTCTCCCAGCACCGATCAGCTGTATGCCCTGTCTTCTCGCAGTGACTACAAACCAGCCCTGCTTTCCCTGGATCACCCTTCTTCTTCTCCTCCTTAGATTGAGAACCACTAGACTTGTCTCCCGTCTGTTTGGAATCACCCTTCGTTTCGTTGCCCTTCTTCTGTTTGCCCTCAATGGAAATTGTCTTCACGCTCACCTCTGCAATCGTCTCGACCGTGAACAACTTCATCTCCTTCCGGATGTAATCATTCAGACCCATCATGTATTTCATGAAGATGAAGTATTCCTCCGTTGCGATGTTTAGAACCATTGCCTGCTGCTGGAACTCCGTCGTATACTCTTGAACGGTCTGATTGAATCTTTGGCGCAAGCCGTACCACATACTCTTGAACGGTCTGATTGAATCTTTGGCGCAAGCCGTACCACTTGTACCAACGCTCTTCAAGGAATCCTACTGGGTAGAACTGCTTTCTCAGTAACTCATTGAACTTGTTCCACGACGCCGCCTTCTTCTCCTGCTTGCAGTAGGATTTCCACCACGTCAATGCGTGCCATGAAAGCTTCAAAGTCGCGAACACAATCTTCTCTTTCGACGAATAGCCATAAAGAGTAAAATACGTCTCCATCCGCTCGATCCAGTCATCAAGCCTATCGATGTCAACACTCCCATCATAAACATGAATCTCCACCTTGAAGTTAATCTTCAGGTTCTGATAAGAATTCTTACCCCATTGATGTAATGTAGTCTTAACGGTCTCCTCCTCCTCGTCAGAATCTGAATCTACTCTCTCCACATCGGACTCAACAATTTTCTTCGAAAAAGATTCACCTTGTTTGCCACCTCCATGGATAAGACTGACGAGTTGTGTGAGAGTCGAACCTATCGTCTCGATCTGCTTCTCCAATGCATCAATCCTCGCTGAATTGTCTCCTTCAGCCATCTTCTTCTTCCTTAAAACCTAGATTCCTTCCAATAAAATAA